TAAATTATTACTTGAACGAGCTGAAGCCCTACATGAACCTGTGGGAACGCAGCAGATATCACCTAATTACAAAAAGACATGCAAAGGCTCGAAATATAATCGTCCAGTATCTGGCAGACAACATATGTTAGAATAGAAACAATAAAAGATAATCATCGAAGGAAATCATGGAATCTCTAGAACAGCCATGTTGAAAAGGGAATATCTTTGCAGGTGCAACTGCAAAGGAACTAAGGTCAATGAAATGTATGGAAAAACCCAGTTAAATACATTCTTTACTGATTTTGATCAAACAGTAAATCAAAAGGCGCTGGTGGAAATGTAGATGACAATGAGTTAATATGCCAGCTGTTCTCAGCAATGCCAGACAGTTTCCAAGCAGTTGTAACAGCTATTGATGTAATGTTTTGCCAGGATGAATCCAAAGGCATGAACTTTGTCAAAAATAAACTTTTGATGGAAGAAAGTCGAAAAACCAAAAGTGTGGAACTTGAATCGAACGATGCTGCGTTTGCATCGAGTTATAGAAATAAGAGCTTCAACAAAAATTTTGGGAATGCCTCAGGAAATGCATAAAAACATAAATAATTTCTTTTTAGATGTCATTTGTGTGATGAGGTAGGAAATATTATGAGAAGATTTTGCAAATGTGGTTGAAAGGTACAACCAGCCTAATCAAAGCAATGATAATGATGAAACAGAGGATCAAATATTATTTTTGACTGGCGAGACGCATGAGAAATTTCATAAAATTTTATAATGAGCCTGTGTACCAAGTTCAAATAAAATTAGCTTTGTAGCTAGTGGATACAGAAACATCATTTTGGTAAAACTAGAGTACAAGGATAATGTAATCTATGAAAAAAACAAAAATCATGAGATTAGCAGTGCTAAAAAGGGGTGAAGTCTATCATTGATAAAAGAGGGCGATTTGTATGTCAAACACAAATACACGCCTGAAAAAATGAGAATAAAAAATCTTTGTGCAAAGATTATATATATATTATATCACACAATTTATTGTCTCTGTCAGAAAACTGGAAGAAGCTGGAATGAGAGTTGTATTTGGTAATGGAGAAGTAACTGTATGGAAGAAAAACAAGATAGTTCTATAAGGAAAAAGACATGGGAATCTATATATAGTAGATTTTCAAATATCTCTAGAACCCGACACAGCAATTGTGAACCTAACTGTGAACGAAAGTAGATTGTTGATGCACAGAAAAATAGGTCATTCTAGTAAATCTCCCCCACATGAAATTTGTGAAACTGTTTCAGAAAGTAAACAAACAAAGAGTGCCTTTCAAGACACTAGATGAAGGAAGAAATTAAACTTGGAATGTATTTCAACTGATGTGTGCGAACCATTAAGGCCTGCAACACATGGTGGGGAACGATACCACGTGACATTTATCGATCATTATTCACACTTTTGCGTTTGTTATCTCCTGGAAAACAAGAGCCAACTTACAAAGAAGCTAACAGAATATGTAAGGCGAGTCAAAGCAAAACTTTTATAATAAAATAGACAGAATAAGGTTGGATAATGGTGGCGAATATTTTTCTCAAATATTAAAAGACTTGTGTAACAATGGAGGAGTTCATTCGCAGTACACTGTTCCAAGAAGTCCAGACCAAAATGGGATAGCTGATAGCTGAGAGGCTAATTGGAACAATAATGGATGGCTTTTATTTGATTCTAAATTAGGCAATAAAATGTGGGGTAAGGTTGTTTCGAACTCAGTTTTCTTATCGAACAGAACAGAAACTTCAACCCTGGCCAATCAGAAACTGCCTGCTTAGGTATGGTATGGATATAAACCAAACATGGATAAGATAAAGTTGTTTGATTGCGAAGCTCACAACTGATTCCTAGAGAGGACCTAGAGTCAAAGCTAGACAAAAGAAGCCAAAACATTGTTATGAATGGCTATACTGATAATGGATATAGACTATGGAACCCATTAGGAAAGAAAGTAGTATTCGCAAGAAATGTTATTTTTAATTAATTGAAAAATAGGGACAACATAGTATAACAATTGAACAAGACGACGAGCAAGCAGATGAGGGAAAACAAGAGTTCACTGATTATTGTGTGAAGAAGAAGGAGATACTAAAACTGCACAAGACCTAAGAAATAAAAACCCCAGAAGAAGTGAGAGAATAAGAACAATATCGACACACCTACACGACTACCAATTGAATGACGACAATCGACAATGAAGACTTTTACCAAGATGCAAACTTCATGACAGCACTATCTGCAGGGAATTTGCCATCAGAAGTTCCACAGAATTATAAAGATGCAGTGAAAGATAGTGAATGGAGAAAAGCCGTAGAAGAGGAGCTAAATTCATTGAAAGAAAATAAAGCGTGGACACTTGTGGAAGTTTCTATAAGCACATGGAAATAATCGACTCAAAGTGGGTGTTTAAAGAAAGAAAAATCAAAGGTATTCTGGTAAAGAAGGCTAGATTGGTAGCACGTGGCTTTCGACAGAGTGCGTGTTGAGTGAAGACTTTTATACCCCAGTGGCTCGTATGGTCACTATAAGAGTGCTTTTATCATTGTATGTGCAGGACGATTTTCATATATAACAATTGGATATAAAGTCTGCTTTCTTGTATAGAACCTTGGAAGACCCTGTATATATGTATCAGCCTGAAGGAATAGAAGAAGATCCTAAATGGAATTAGTTGATTGTATTTCAGAAAACGTGAATTATATTTTAGAATTTGTCAGATGTAGTTCAGAAGTCATCAGGTACCTACGCAGATTTTTCCAATCAACACAAGCTACACAGCTTCAAGCTATATAGGTGTATAGGTGACCCATTATAAATTTTATTTACATTTGACGCATTACAGTTTAAAATTTCTGATCTTCAAATAAATAATCTGAAACCCAGATAAGGTTTTCTGAAATACAAGTGACCAAACTGAAATACAAATAACTTTTTCTGAAATTAAACTTACACAACTGGAATACAATTGACGCATTCTGAACTAGAATTGACTCGAGAATTGATGAATCTGAAATGCAAGAGATACATTCTGAAATACTTATGGAAAAGGTGTAGAGGTCTTACTGGAGACTCACATTCCGAGATCAATCCGGAAGGGTCGGTATTTTTCCAGCCCTGCTGCAAAAAGATTATAATATCCAATATCCTAAGGGTACACATTCAAATAATATTCAAATCTAGCCTCACTCTGGGTTACGTTCCACTAGCCTGGAGTAAGGCTGGCGTGACATTCACACCAAATCAACCAAATGCAGGACGCCGGCCAGATGATGAACCAAATAAATCCTATCGACCCAATACCCTTACATCCGGCTGTCTAGCTCCTTAAATCCATGGAGAAAGTAATAAACCAATCTATCAATCAGAAGCGAAATTCTAAATAGCGAACCTCTTAATCCAAGACCATTTGCGTACCAAGCAGTAACTGTAACACCTTTGTAAGACCCAAAGCCTTCTGTGGAGTAATGAGAAGCCACGTCTCCGAAGAAATGAACAGTTGCACATTGAAAATCCATTCCTGGTTTGAGACGGGCAAAAACGTTCAGATCTGTCTCAGCAAAGAGATCTGAACAACTTGACATGAACAGAAGAGACATTATTAGAATAGTCGGTGGCCTGCTCGCTGGGGCATTGCCTGGTGAAATATCACCTAAAAACAATATGCAGATATCAGACAATGACCACTGCAAATTTTGCGAACACGCAACTGAAGCTTACAGAACATTAAATCTGTGAATACCTTGAAGGGGTACGGCTAACACCCCAAGAGGTGGGTACTTTACCACCCAGACCAGCTGTCTCCTACAAATCTTGGACACCAACTAGAAGCAGAGTCACGCACAAAATATCTGGAAAGGTAGCAGTGCTTGAGCGGCTGGAACAAGCTGTAACGACTCCAAATACAATCTAAAATCCACTGTCTTACAATGTGTTCACAACTTATTTGCGTTCAATTCACCAATAACTGAATATGATATTTAATTCATCGCTGACCTTGTCCCTCGGTGGTAGACTCCGTTTTATATCATGTCGTTGCTTCTATAATTGGCTGCATTTTTCATAAACAAATTTAAGACAAATTCCTTGAATGGTCAAGATCTGTTAACACATTGGATTGAGTAAGTCATTGTTGAAATAAGGTTTAAGTTGATCATGTGCGTTTCTGCAAGATCTCTCTATTTTTTCGGCGGGGGGTCGTCAAATGTTACTTCCGCCACTTCTTCTTTCTACCTCGTATCTTTCTTCTTCTTCTTCTGTAAGTCAAGGTCAGTCTTCGGCACGACGGGCGCGGACCAACTTACTGACCCAGTATTTTATTTCCTGTACGTTCTGTATGCGTATAGAGGATTGGACTGTAGCACCTTTTTTTTGAATACTACAACACCCAATTTTTTCCAAAACATTCTCATGAATGAAAAAAAATCAAATAACTTATTGAAGCCGACAATATAAAAAGAATTAAACATGTTACAGTATTCATAATCCTGTTTTAATAAGGCACACACTGACAAAATCACCTATTCGGTTCGCAAATTCGAAATCACCGACGTCAAGTGACAACGTTTGAATTTGAAATAAGCTCGAAGCACATTTTCCTGAATAAAATCTCAGCTAATTGACATAAAAACATATATTTTACATAACTTACACATGCATAGCTGGCATGAAGCGAGAACGCAAATGTATTTTTTCGGCTACTCGTAGGAATACAAATGGAGTTTCGAAAGGTTAACCTAGATTTTGGATTGTTTCACGAAGTAAGATGTTCAAAATATCTGAAAAAAATTGTCTATTACCTACCAGACAATATCCACAAGGACAATAGAAGATATGTAGGAAAATCTTAATCGAGTAACTTCATTCAACTGACCAACCATTAAATTATTAACACATAGAAAATAGTCATTTGGTTTTAATTGAGGTTTGTCCAGGTAGGACTTCTTTGACATCATATATTGTCAAAAATTACATTTCCTTTTGCTATAATATACTGATCCGAATATTCAACATGAAAAGGAACAATCCGTTTATTAGAAGTGAAGCAAAGGGTAGAACATCAGGATCCTTGGCCTTGGAATCATCATCCAGTTTTGAAGAGGGTGATTTCGTAAATTATGACGATTTTATTTCGAGCAGCAAGGATACTACCGCAACAAAAACCACAGAATTTTTCTTTCAACAACATTCCATTGTTAAACACACGACAGACGATTATCAGCAGAAACAGGTGAGATTAAAATAAATACATTAGTGTGTGTGAAGAAAATGTCAATTTCTTCCAGTTTGGAGGTAATGTACTCTTCCATAAAACCACGCATATCCAAATTGACGAACCAGAGAAAGAGCTTCCCCGGGATCCTTCGGTATTGGTAACAGGGTTTGGTATGAGAAATGTTAAGTCATTTCAGAAACTTATGGACATGTCTAAGGAGGAACGGAAAAAATGGGAGCTGAGAAAATTATGGAGAGATGAAATGGGTAATAATTGAAGTTTTGAATCTAATCGACGACCTTCACTAGATATTTTGTTATTATTATAATTTTTCCCATATCTCACTACTTTAAAATCTATGCAAAGATCCAAATGTCAGTGTAACTTTTTGTCTTCCATAAGCGTCTTCGTCTGGAACTTCACTTTTCATTCCATTCCCATCCATCTTTTCTTGATAGATTAATTGCTGGCAACCTACTTCCCAAATGCTTTGTAGGCTGCGCTCGCTCTGGCCATTTCGTCAGCCTTTTCGTTAAAAACCTTCTATCCTCAAATGCCCAGGAACCCACAGGGAGCTTTATCATGTTATTTTTTGACGACAGAGCTTCCAGGTCGTGTAAACATTGCACCTTCGAAGTGAAACTATGTAAGTTCAGATTGTCACAACCCCTATACGTTTCGTCCTGGGACGTCACAACAGGAGCGTGACCTGGGGGCGTAGGTGGGGTTCAGGTAGAGAGAAACTCGCTTGGTATAGGTATAATAAGATAATGTATTGAATAATAATATTACCCTTAAATAGTATCATGGTGTCTCTTCTACGGAGGGACGTACTACTTATAGGCCACTCTGTATTATGTACACTCTGTATAGTCTGGCTAACGAAACGGCGAACTGCAAAAGAATTTGTTAATTTGCCAAACTTGACGGAAATAATGATAAACAAGTTGGTGACATTTTTTTTTTGCTATATGGGCATGTGTAGTATTTTGAAATAGAAAAAAATTCGGCAACATTGCAAAATGATAGATGTGGAGAGGCGTGATTATTCAGAGGTATGATTCTATTGGTTAGAGTCTGAACGACAGCAGGCAGTGGCGTGGTTATTGGCGAAACTAAAGAATTTTTTTTTCTAATAATTTTATTGGTGTTTCCGGTGCCACTGAACCGAAAGACATAGCTGTCATCAGGTGGTGTCAGTGAATATTTTTAGGTCACGCCCCACTTTTCTTCCCCCTTTCTTCGTCTCTACCAAGTTACCACTTGCCAGACTATACACTTAGCGCGACTGAAGACTGAAGCTGGGTTTGAGACAGGTCCAGAAGGGCGTTTCCCAATAAAGGTAGGTTGCATTGGACCTAGTCTGCTGTGTTCAATGCTCCCAGAAAAAACTAGGTTTGAGATAGGTCCAGAACGGCGTTTCCCATTAAAGGTAGTTTACACTGGACCTAGTCTGCTGCGTTTATGTCACAAACCCTATACGTTTCGTCCTGGGACGTCACAACAGGAGCGTGACCTTGGGGGCGTAGGTGGGGTTCAGGTAGAGAGAAACTCGCTTGGTATAGGTATAATAAGATAATGTATTGAATAATAATAATAATATTACCCTAGCCTATTGACGGGCGTGCCTGCATTTGCAGACAGATGTCTAGAGACGCGTCTGTATTTGCAGACAAAATTGGTAGTCCTCAAAACGTCGCGCCTATGCTATTATACAATATACGTGATTATTTTAAGTGTCCCAGTAAATGAAAAAAAATATTGAGAAGTGTCCATTTACGTCCATTCCATGGGAAAAAAATATGGAATAATATAGAAAAATTATAGTGTCCCCCACATGGTCCCCTTTTTCGCCTAGCGCCCGTCAATGGGCTAGAAATAGTATCTGACGTCACTTCTACGGAGGGACGTACTACTTACAGGCCACTCTGTATTATGTACCCTCTGTACCCTTGGCGTGACTGAAGACTGAAGCTAGGTTTGAGACAGATCCAGAAGGGCGTTTTTCATTAAAGGTAGTTTGCACTGGACCTAGTCTGCTGCGTTCAATACTCCCAGAAGGGCGTTTTCCATTAAAGATAGTTTGCACTGGGAGGAGACTTAGCTTGAGGGGCTTTTCCCTTTTGAGGTAATTTGCACTAGCATTAGTCTGCCGGTAATGGATTTCGGCGCGGTATTTACACAAAATTAATGCTGAATCGTCGACACACTTGAGTAAAATTGATGTACAGAGTGGTATTTACTTAAGTAGTTGACAAGATCTTTCAGAGCAGCCTGACTGAGAGAATGCTTATGTTCTGGTTGTTGTAACCCAGCCTTATAATCTACTGTGCGCATGCTTGGAATGCATGAACTTTTGCCTGGTGAACTATGGAGTTAAGCCCCAGAGAAATGGTCTTTCTCCATATACTCCAGCGTGCTCCATCCGCTGGAGGGAAGGTAGCTAGCCCCAGAACTGCTTTCAGCGCTGCAGTGGGTGTGTTTCTCATGCACAGAGATTCCAGTCTCTGAAGGCTGTTCAGGCTATTGCCCTTCGTGACTTGTTTTGCTTTTGCCCACCATATTGCAGCTCCGTATACAACTATGGACCTGATAACCGTATGGCGTACAACCATAGCATCATCCTTGGTCTCAGATCCCAAGGTTTTCCCAACAGACTTCTGCATAACTACACTCTATTTTTTCCCAAGATAGATTTTGACATTGTCAACTTTGAAAGATAAACAATACCGCGTGGCTCTGATTGGTCGCAAAATGCCGTGTCCTTGCAGGTGAGGTATCCTTTTACATGGTTGGAAAAAGATACCTTCGTCGAATGTAGGTACATGGCCATCTTGCGACCAATGAGCGGCATTGTTTATGTTTCAAAGTTGTCATTGTCAAAATCTATCTTGGGAAAAAATGAACTGTAGACACATTTTTTTTATGTTGAGGTTTCTCTCTAGATGTGAGTTCCATTTTAACTTAGCGTCTAGGATTAGACCTTGATCGTTGATCAAGGTCTTGATCCAATACCTTGATCCTCCGGTTGCTGGTATTATTGATCCCGGAAAGTGCACTTGAACGAGAGCCTCCAGCATCTTTTTGCCAGTTGTCGTGAACTCCCCTGTCGGTTTTCTGATTACCTCCATTGTCCTTCTTCCTTCTTGAGAATCCGGTGAATACGTTCGGTATCCAAAGGAGACTCTACTACTACTTTGCAAATAAGTTATTATCTTCGCTATTAATTAAACTTCTTTCTGTTTAGGTATTTAGTCCTCCTTACTCTTCAATGTCTTCGAGCTTTTCTGAAATCCTCAGACTTCCTCCTTTTTTTGTATTTGATCTATTCGTTGAGGAAAATCTTTGCTTGTAGCATCCTATGAGAGCTGCCAATGGAATCTTGATTTGAAGAACTTTATATCCTCTATTTGGTAATATCCATGTTCATTTCCTTCCAATTATAAGGAAGGATCCCACATCCATAATGTCCCAGCCTAGTTTCAAATTTTAAGCAAACTATCACCATGAAAGGTCTTGATACCTTATCTAAGTCAAACATTACCTTCAAATAAAATCACTTGCCAAGGAACCAGGTTTTTTTTTTTTAAATATTAATGACCCTATCGTAAGCATATTTCTTCACTAATTTGTCTTTCCTCATCGTCAAATCTTGACAGGCCTAATGAAGTCATATATAGCTTAAGTATTTATTTTTTATCCGCCTCATATAATACGAGCTATGGATGCTGAATGCAAATCAATCTGTCAGAGTGCAAGATAAAATCGTGAATATATTAGTTTGACGTCGAAGAGGTACAACAGGCAAACGAAAATTGATTTGTTATTTGGACCGTAATTGTCAAATGGATTTTCTAATAGAAACTTCTCTTGTATGAATTTTAGGACAAAAGGCAAGAGAATTATTATTTGAAAAACAGGAAGAGAAAATAAGTGCTGGACATATTACTAGCGATGTTTCAACAGCTAGTGGACCTGGGTCAATTAAATCGAGTGTAGACTTTTTGAGCCAAACAGAATCCGTGAAAAGCGATGTTGATCATAAGAAAACTTTGGACTATCTCTTAGGTGAAAAAGAATAATTTGTTGAATAAGTAATACATAATTGTTTTCAAAATGTTAACAGGTTTGGAAACAGAAGCTGAAGAAGAACCAAAGCCATTTTCAAAAGTAAAACCGTTTGAAGAAGAAGAGGATACATTTAAGTATTCTTCTTCAAAATCTGTAAGAGAAGCTCAGAGCTATCTTAGAAGCCACCGAATATTTGAATGCTTTCAATTTATCATAGCTCACTTGTTGTCTGCAAACCCAGAAAATCCTATAGAATTCATCCTCAATTTGATTAATAGATGCCTTTTATATCGGTATTACATCGACTATAATCGTGAAAAATTCTCAGTGTTGCATTTTCTAGGTCCGGATTAGGTGAACCGCCACTTTTATACAACCGTAAACACATCACGCAACTTTTTAATATTATGGACAGACTGCAAAGCGGCTTTATTGATAAAGATCAATATGTCAGTGGAATGAAGACTATCGGAGTTTGTTCCTATAATGAAAATCCAGAGACAAATGATGATGGTGAAATTTTGTTAGACACTTTTGTAGAAGAAGCTTATGAAGCTGAAGTGGCGATTTTTGATGATATGATTAAACGAAGACCGGGAAAGGCTAAAAAGGGTGCTAGGAAGCTTCCTCAAGAAACATTTGATACTGTATCTATTCCTAGCGCGAAAACGCCTTATTTTGTACCTTCAGATTTGTTTAAAAGTAGTAAAACTGATTTTGTTGATCAGTTAAATGATGAACAGTGAATCAATTATAATGCTTTTTACATTACAAGTTTTTGGTTTGGTTTTCACTTCCCATCATAAAACATGCACGTTCAATTTCAAGTAGGCATTTTCTACATGCCGCATTAACGAAGAGAAACTCCAAAAAGAAATAGTACTAAAAGGAAAACAATTAGCAATAACCCTCAATATTAAGAAAATTTAACTTTAGTATTTTGCACATGCTTGTAATTAAGCACTACTTAAGATATTCGACATGCATTGGTTGTTAGGCAATTTTAACAAAATATTAACATCCTTTTTGCAAGTGAAACGAAACGCGATTTTTTCCCGGTGCTGGCTGAACAAGGTGCCAATAAACATATAAATTATGAATTACTGTTGACCTTATTCATTTGATGTTTGAAATTGGTTATTTGGGCTTTGCATGGTATAATACTTCAAAAACTATTAGTACCTATTGCCTGAACAAATCAGAGCAAACTTTCCACTAAACTCATTGATTTTTCCAAAAGTTCGTTAATTATGATTTTGTTCTCTGTTGAATCTCGCAAAACAAAGCGTGAAAACTCGTCATGGCAAAGCATAAACCACGGTTTTATTCGGCAAAATGTCACCTATTGTTTTCTATCACCTATTACGGTCAGTGGGTTACAAAAATGTGCCTAGATGTCTGAAATATAATTATTTTATTTTGAGAAGACTACAATGTTGTGCTCAATGGTGTAGAAGCCTTTCGGTTGGTCAGATGTTGACCCTAGAGAAAATTTTTGATTTGAAATAGGTACCTTATTCTAATAACATAATGGTTGTCTATGCAACGTCACAAGACAATCTACTCAAATTGAATTTTCATTGAAAATCTTTTGACATTAGAAATCGACTACAGTTCTTAACGTAGAAACAACCTTTACACTATTTCCTACTATATTATTTGATTTGAAAAATCACGAGGTATTCAATATAGGTACAAACAATTTTCTTCACACTTTCATTGCCAGCTTACAGGAGATTGTTTTGCACCATGACCATCGCCCTATTAAAATCGTTCAAGATGTCACTCCAATGCCATTGCTGAATAAATTAAATGTAAGTGTATTGGAAAGTTATGTTCAATCATGAACCCTTTGTAATATTATCGGCCATAACTATTAGAACATGAGCATTCGGTCAATGCAAGTAATATGTAGTACCTATCAATTCTTAAGATCAGTTACTGCAGGCGAAAATATGCTGCAGGTAAAGGTGAACCCAGCAAGAAAGAAATGAAGGCAGAGATACGGGTTTCAGTCAATCAAAAATTAAAACTCCAATGCCTTAAATACGCCTGATGACCGACATTTTTTTTTAAACGTTAATTATGTGGTAACGGTGAATTTCTTCTATAAATATATAGATTACAGATGTTTGTTTAATTCATCGGTACTACTGCGAAATCCAGCTTTTGATACTGAGCAGCGAGAAAAAAAAAACATATTGACTTGAGATGTTAAAATCAGTACCTACAAATGGCGAAGTCAATTCATATCAATCTCAATTCATTGATTGAGCCAAAGAATTCCAATAATTATTTAATGACAAACAATTGCAATAGTTATCTATACCTTATCTATACAAACTATTTATTCAAATTACTTCTTCGAAGGAAAACAACTAATGGGTCGATCTTGTGGATATTGGTTGGTTGTTAGTTGAGATGCAGAGTGAACAGGCCGGGTTAGGTAGCCCCAACACTGCAGGCGTCGGCTTATTGTATTGTATTGTCCGTCTGTTTAGTCAGTGAAAAGTTTCTTGATCTTGATTTGACGATAAGGTCAATTGGTGGGAGGTTTAGGATCGTTTCCATACTTGCCGTTACTGTGCTTTTCTGGTGTACCGGTAATACAAAGCACACATGCAATTCTCTGGATTTTGGCTAGTTCCAGGTTTCCTTTTCTTTGGTTTACTTTAGGTCACCATACTAGTGCACCATATGTTATCATTGGTCTTACAACCAGTCTACAACTGACGGCTTCAGTCCCTATGTTTTCCCAGTCGCTCTTTTTAGTGTCATCAACTTCATCTTGCTTTTGGTTATCTTTCGGATGTATTGGTTCCATGTCAGCTTCATATCTAGGATGACGCCTAGAAATTTAGCTTCCTTGCCAAATTACAGGTTTTCTGGAATAGACTGGGGCCGATTAAGTCCTCCAGATTTCTTTTTCTGGTGAAAGGAATGATTTTTGTTTTGGAGAGGTTGACACGAAGTTACTCCCGCGTGCACCATTCCTCAATGATTCCTGCATGAGGTTTGATTCCGTCCTGGTAAATCCTCCCCTAATGACAAATAACAACCACTATAAAATCCGCGTAGCCTTGATGGTTTAATGTCCTCAGAAGTTCATCCACGACTAGATTCCACAAGAGTACGGTGACAGAACTCCGCCCTGTGGGCATCCTTTTGTCGCGGTTACTTTAATAGAAGTTTCAGCAATAGTCGAGTTTATAGTCCTGTGTTTTAGCATGGATTTGATCCATCTGCATGTGGTATCATTAATTGCATTTTGCCCAGCAGCTCTTATTATGGAGTTGAAGGAGGTGTGGTCAAAGGCTCCTTCTATGTCAAGGAATGCCACTAATGCGATTTCTTTGTTTTCTAGTGAGTTCTCTACTCTTTACACCAGTTGGTGTGTAACCGATTCCCATGATTTACCTGGTTGGAAGGTATGTTGGTTTTGATCAAGTGGCCTCTGTTTCAGTGAAGTTTCCCCAATGACATCATGGTTTCCCTGATGTGCTTTTCAACTAGTTTCTCTGTCACCTTTAACATAAAGGACGATTAGCTGATCGGTCTGTATGACCTGGCCTGAGATGGGTATCTGCCAGGTTTTGAGATAAAGACCGCTTTTACTTCTCTCCATGACCCAGGAATAGCCTGTTGCCAGGCTGGCTCTGCACAGCCTGCAGAGGTGTGGTGCTACAAGGTCTACCGCCTCTTGTAGGAGTGCTGGTATTATTTCATCTGGTCCTGGTGATTTGAAGCTGTCAAATGAGCTTATTGCCTATTTTATGCCATCATAAGTTACCGCTTTTTTAGCAAGTTCCCAGTCCTCCTTTTTCGCTCCATTACAGAAAGCGGAACGGCTTGATGGGTTTCTGCTATCAGGTGTCACTTCGGTGGAGTCAGGAAAATGGGTTTGAAGAAGTAAACTTAAAGTTTCTTTCCCATTTTTTGTGAAGTTCCCATCAGGCTTTTCGATGGTTTCCGTCGCTACTATTCCATGCGATGTGATGGGCGTTAGCATCTGCTCCAATGAGAATCTGTAGGTCATTCAGCCCACGGTGTTGCACTAATCTCTCCAGTGGCCCAATTCTTGAAAAATATCGCATACGAAATTTGATTCGAATTTGACTGACAGCAATGTTAATTAAATGGGAAGTGTTCGAAATCATTTCAAATTTCGTATGCGATATTTTTCAAGAATTGGGGTCCAGTTCTGCTGATGGAGGTGGATTAGGGGAGTCATATGGCAGGTACACAGAAATTATAATGAGCTCTTTAGTGTTCCCTGCTTCTTAGCAGTCAAGCTTTATTGCTGCTATGTCCCTAAAGCAGAAAGTTGTCATTTTTATTGCATCAATATTGTTGTTTGCAATAATGCAGCTTCTTACATTCTCTGAGTTTGAGTTACAGATTAACTTACCCCCGATGTTGCCTAGACCCATGACTCTGTTCCATGACGTCCAGGGTTCTTGGATCAGAGCCTCATTGATGCCCCCTTCCTTGAAGGTTTTGCAGAAGGCAGCAGTTGCAGCCTTCTTATGCTGCAGGTTTATTTGAAGGACCCGCAGCATTTTTAGGTTTTGGATCGAGGACCCTGAAGGTTAGCATCGGGAGGCCAAGGTAGAGCTTAAAGTCTTTCTTGGTTCCCACAACGAGAATGGAGCCTTTTGGTTCTAACCTGATGTTGAACACCTTCCAGTCATCCGCTTTTATCCCCTCGTTTTGGGTTTTTAGACAACGGAGTGTTCTTGTCGGGTCAGCATCAAGATGTTCTTAGGGTATCCACACCAATACCCTTACTCGGGGAGTGACATCCTTGGATGGTAGTATCCTCAGGTTTGTCCCTTACCATTATTGGTTTAGTTTTGGGGTTACCATTTTGAGCCATTCCGCAGCCTCGTTGTTTGCGCAATGGAAGTGAACCATGCCATGTTTTGCTTGGCTTATATGGTTGAACTTGGGTCATTTTCCAGGTTGAGACATCCAGATTTCCTGGAGGATAGCTTCCTGTAACTTTTTCCATTGTTTTGCTGTCATCTTAGTGTCAGGATAGGTATAGTATTTGTAATACCCATTTAGAATAACCTCATCCTTATTTATCAATCACGACTCAGCTGAAACAAAAAATTACCAACAAAAACGAACGTCGATTGTTAATACGTCAATTTCATCTACGAATAGTAAATTCCTAACCAAATTTTATTTGTGTGTCGAGAAGCGACATACGTTTTGTGACTAAAACGACAGGTACTTCTAAATAGGTATTAAAAATACTATACCTATATGTGGGAACCACTGTACAATATTGGGATACTAAACCACTGTGCACCCAACCTGCTGTCGCAGGAAATGACAAGGTGTCAGCAGCCAAGGAAAAACAATGGTTATCAGTCGTTACCTATGGTTATCAAATGTTGTTGATCAGTGATCGTTTCACTGTGAACGAGTAAAGTCCTTGCCAGTTTAAGAGCTCTCTGACCTTGGGCATCAACCTTTGTCGCGGTGTAACTTTCACTTACAACACACACATACACATACACATTCCGCAGAACTATCGTTGTATCAGCTTTTGGTATCAGATAAAGTCAGCATTAAGTCAAACCTGTCCCACCGTTGGATTTAACTGGATTAGGGCAACCAAAGACGGCATTCTAGATTCAGAATCACTTGACAGCTAAAATGATCACACTGAAGATTAGTGATCACCATTTATGAGCAAGAGGCCCCACGTTGGGCGCCAATTTGTTACGTGTCTAAAGG